TTTGCTTTTACTCTCTCTTCCTCTTTTCTTCCTCCCTCTTACTCCCTCCCTCCCTCTCTCTCTCTTCTATGTTCCCTCTTTCCCTTTTTTGTCTCTCGATGTCTCTCTTTCTTTTTATTCTCTTTGTCTTTCTCTTCTTTATGCCATTCTCTCTATTCTCCCTCCCTCTTCTATCTCTTACTTTCATTCTACTCTTCTTCTCACTCTTTCTCTCAGCCTCTCTCTTGTGTCTCTCTCTTCCTCCCTCTATGGCAAAAGCAGAAATTAAATTTGTCAACTGGGTTTTTGTCAATGTTTCGCAGCTCATCCAAAAATAATAACAAAATAAACTTTTGTCCAGTTGACAAATTGAATTTCTCTTTTTTTACACATTTCACTTTCACTCTATTCTATTTCTCACTCTTTTTCTTCCTCCTCCTTCCCTCTCTCACCTCTTGCGTCTTTTCTATTCTCACTCTCTTGGTCTGTCTCTTCTGTCTTCTCCCATTTTGTTCTCTCTCCCTCTCTATTTCTCTCTCACACATATTTCCTCTCCTTTCTTACTTTCTCTCGCTCTTACTCTCTCTTTCTCTTTTCTCCCTCTCTCGGACTCACTCTCTCTCTTTTGTATGTCTCATTTTCTGTTTCCCTCCTTCCCTTTTTTGTCTCTCGATGTCTCTCTCTCTCTATTCTTTGTCTTTCTCTTCTTTACGCCATTCTCTCTCCTCTCCCTCCCTCTTCTATCTCTTACTTTCATTCTACTCTTCTTCTCACTCTTTCTCTCAGCCTCTCTCTTGAGTCTCTCTCTTCCTCCCACTATGGCAAAAGCAGAAATTCAATTTCAATTCAGTTTCCAAAATAATTCGACCAAACTTTTGTCCAGTTGACAAATTGAATTTTATTTTTTTGCCATGGATTCTACCTGGACGACTGAGAGGATTTTACACATTTTACTTTCACTCTGTTCTATTTTCTCACTCTTTTTCTTTTGCCTCCTTCTCTCTCTCACTTTTGCCTCTCTTGCTTCTTTTCTATTCTCCCTCTTCTGTCTCCTCCTCCCATTTTGTTCTCTCTATTTCTCTCTCTGTCTCTCTCCTACACACATACTCTCTCCTTCTCGCTCTTACTCTCTCTTCCTCTCTTCTCTATCTCTCTGCCTCCCTCTCTCTCTTCTCTATGTCTCAATTTCTGTTTCCCTCCTTCCCTTTTTTGTCTCTCTCCTTGTCTCTCTTTTCTCTTTGTCGTCCTCTTCTTTATACCTCCCTCTCTTGCCCTAAGTGTCTCTACTCTCCCTTCCTCTTCTTTCTCTTTCTCAACTTTCACTCTACTCTTTTTCTCACTCTTCTTTCAGCCTCTCTCTTCTGTCTCTCTCTTCCTCCCACCATGGCAAAAGGAGAAATTAAATTAATTCGAACAAAATAAACTTTTGTCCAGCTGACAAATTGAATTTCTCTTTTTTTCCATGGATTCTACCTGGACGACTGAGGGCATTTTACACATATTATGGGAATCGTTTCTTTATTTCTTTATTTATTTTCTTTATTTTTTTAAATTTAATATACAGTATGTGTTTCGAAAAAGGGCCCCGTGACTCGTCAGTCTCTATGAAATGGAACAAGAAGTTTCCAAAACCACTGGACCGTACAAAACACTATTAAAATTTCTCCAAAAATGAAAATAGTTTTACTGTAAACCTTAAATATTCCTCAGTACAATTTGACACTTTGAAGGAGCGGATATGAAAAAGTCGTACTCTCTCTGACCTTTGACCCGCGGCTTTAAAAACACCCAGAGTTCCTCTAAATAACAGACTGAGCTCAGACTTGGGTGGCCCTGTTTGCACCCATTTCTCATGACCCCGAACGCTACTCTCACTTCCTGGTTCTGGAGTGATTTAGTGTAGAGAGAGAGACAGGGAAATCGAGAGAGAGACGGAGAGAGAGACGGAGAGAGAGACGGAGAGAGAGAGACGGAGAGAGAGAGACGGAGAGAGAGAGACGGAGAGAGAGAGAGAGAGAGAGAGACGGAGAGAGAGAGAGAAAGGGGTGGGGCGGGATGTGGACCAAAATAAACAAAGCAACAAGCAGGAAATGCAAGACTCTTTTGTTTACAAGTTTGACGACATCCAGGTTTTGAAGCGTAGCCGTCTTCCTCTGTCTCTCTTCCTCTTCTCTCTCCAGGTCCCTCCCTCGCTTTTTCCACTCTATTTCTCCCTCTCTCTGCTTCTCTCAGTCTCTTTATCTATGTCCCTTTCTCTCCCTCTTCTGTCTGTGTTTTCCTCCCTCAGTCTTCTCTCTCTCTCTCTCTTGTCTCTTTCTTCTTGCATTTTTTCTCTCTCTTCTTTCTCTCTGTCTCACTGTTTTCTCTCTCACTATTCTCTCTCTCATACTATTCTCTCTGTTCTCTCTCTCTCTCTCTCCCTTCTCTCACTATTTTCTATCACTTTTCTCTCGCTATCTCACTATGCTCCCTCCCTCTCACTCTCTCACTTCTCTCTCTCTCTCACTATTCTCTCTATCTCATTATGCTCTCTTTCACTTGTCTGTTTCTCACTATGCGCTCTCTCTCTCTCTCTATTCTCTCTCACTATTATTCTCTCTCTCACTATGCTCTCTCTATCTCACTTATCTCTCTATCTCACTTCTCTTTCACTCACTATTCTCTCTCTCTCTCTCACTATTCTCTCTCTCTCATTATGCTCTCTCTCTCTTTCACTTTTGTTTCTCAATATGCTCCCTCCCTCTATCTCTCTATCTTATTATTATTCTATCTATCTATCTCTATCTCTCTCTCACTTCTCTCTCTCTCATTATGCTCTCTCTCTTTCACTTTTCTGTTTCTCACTATGCTTCCTCTCTCTATTCTCTATCTCACTATTATTCTCTCTCTCACTGTGCTCTATCTATCTATCTATCTATCTATCTATCTATCTCTATCTATCTATCTATCTGTCTATCTATCTATCTCTATCTATCTCTATCTATCTCTATCTCTATCTATCTATCTATCTATCTATCTCTCTCTCTATCTCACTTCTCTCCCTCTCTCTCTGTCTCTCTCTATTCTCTATTTTGCCTCTCTTGCTTCTCTTCTATTCTCCCTCTCTTGGTCTGTCTCTCTGCCTCCCTACTGTCTCTCTCTCTCCCCCCACTTTCTTTTCTCTCCCTCTCTGTTTCTCTCTGTGTCTCTTTCTTACCCTCTCCCTCTTACACTTTCTCTTTCTCTTCCTTTTTTCCCTCTCTCTCTCTCTCCCTCTGTCTCTCAGTGGGAGTGTCTCTGTGTGTTGTGTGTGTTGTGTAGTGTTGTTGTGTTGTTGTTTGTGTAGTGTTGTTGTGTAGTGTTGTTGTGTTGTGTGTCGTGTTGTTGTGTAGTGTTGTGTTGTGTTGTGTAGTGTTGTTGTGTAGTGTTGTTGTGTAGTGTTGTTGTGTAGTGTTGTTGTGTTGTGGTGTCGTGTTGTTGTGTAGTGGATTCCTGCAGGTTTGTGTGTGTGACACTGGTTCTGTTGTGGATCATGTGGCCCGGTCATGTGCTGGCGAAACTTAGCAACAAAGTCATGTTTGTTTTTTGTTTTTTTTTTCTCTTCCCTTTTTACAGTTTCGTGGTTAAATTTACTCCTGCTAAATCAGTAACGGAATCTGTCTTACAAATACAGTAACTCTCATTGTGGTCGTGTCGTTGGGCAAGACACTTTACTCATAGTTCATCCAGTATCTGCTTAGACTAGTGTAAGAATGTTTGTGAGTGGTTTGTTTAAGTAAAATATGACAATTTTATGTCCAATTTTACTTTCTCATACACAACTTCAAGGCTGGGTTTGGGCAATATTGTCAAAAAATAATATATGGACATTTTTCTATTATATTAAGACAGTTTTTACAGTAACGTGCTGTGATTTTTGGGAAGCACGTCAATATTTAATCAATAACAAATTACTTTGCAAATTAGTGTATTTATTTTACTGTTATATTTAACTCATATAATTACTCAACTACTTTGGAGTTAGAAAAGGCTAAAACTTTAATTTAATATATTGTGTTGGTTTGTATTTGTCACCCTGTACAAACTCGGTGGGATATTCGTTTCCTCACAAGTCTTTTATTCATTCACCTTTTTTATGCAGCTGAGTTTTCAGTAAACCATATGAATGAGTGACGTGTGACAGCTCTACAGATGTGTAATGCACTTACACAAAACATACAGACAGGTGCACCTAACACTAACCTGTCACCCCCAGATGCAAATCAAACTTTATATTTCCTGTAGACAAACACAAAAAAGTGCATGTGAATAACTGCCATGTACTGCCTCCCATCTGATCCATTGCACGGGTGTCCTTGTCCCTACCATTGATTCTCACAGACTCTCGCTGACTTTCGCTGACTCTCTCGGACTTTTGAGGACTCTCACTGGCTCTTATTGACTCTTTTGCGGACACTTGTGGTCTCTTGATGACTCTTGTGGACTCCTGTGGACTCTCGATGACTCTTGCAGACTCTTGCGGACTCTTTTGCGGACTCTCACTGACTCTTGCGAGCTCTTGCAGACACTCACTGGCTCTCACTGACTCTTTTGTGGAAGCTTGTGGACTCTTGTGGACTCTTGCAGATTCTCACTGACTCTCTCGGACTCTCAGTGGCTCTCAGTGGTTTTCATTGACTCTTGTGGACTCTTGCTGACTGTTGCGGACTCTCACTGACTCTCGCTGACTCACTTGGACTCTCAGTGGCTTTCAGTAGTTTTCATTGAGTCTTTTGCGGACTCTTGCGGACCCTTGCTGACTCTCTCAGACTCTTTCAGACTTGTGCCGGACTCTCGCTGACTCTCGCTGACTCTCGCTGACTCTCTCGGACTCTCGCTGACTCTCGCTGACTCTTTCGGACTCTCTCGGACTCTTTCGGACTCTTTCGGACTCTTGCCGGACTCTTGCCAGACTCTCGCTGACTCTCTCGGACTCTTGCAGGCTCTCACTGGCTCTCATTGAATCTCACTGACTCTTTATTTGTCTCTGCTTGTGTCCTCAGGGAGCATCTACTCCAGCCCGGGCCTGTACAGTAAGACCATGACTCCCACGTACGACTCTCGTGACGGCAGTCCCCTCTCGCCCACCTCAGCCTGGTTCGGGGACAGTCCTCTCTCTGAAGGAAACCCCGGCATCCTCGCAGTGAGCCAGCCCATCTCCACACCGGACACACTGGTCAAACTTTACAAGCCCCAGTCACTGCTGGACAAGGCCAAGATCAACCAGGGGTGAGTCTAAAGTCTGCTCATATGTAGGGAGATAGAACATATGAAGCCAATTTTAAAGGAACCGTAGTCTACACAAATTTTAAATTCCATGAACTTGACCTGAGCATGTTCATATCAATTATTATCACAATATTTATTATTCTAAATGACAAAAACATTGGACATAATGGCCAAGTTGTTTTGGTTTTCTAGATGACTATCCAATCGTAGAGCAGACTGAGCATCACATGAGTCTCAATGTTGAAATCCAGTTGGTTTAAACTAGCTGTAAAGTGCTGAAGTATCATATTTCAATGATAACATTGCAAGACTGATTTATTTATGTTAACATGCTGTTTTGGCAACATCAAAATGTTCCTATGTCCAACAGCACTCGTGCTTTTGTCTTTCTGCAGGTGGTTGGACTCGTCTCGTTCTCTGATGGAGCAGGATGTGAAGGAGAACGAGGTGCTCCTGTTGAGGTTCAAATACCACAGCTTCTTCGACCTCAACCCCAAGGTACTGTTCCTCCCATGTTCTCCTCTCATGTTCTCCTCCCATGTTCTCCTCTCAGGTCCTCCTCTCTGCATTCTACAAGTTCAGAGCTTTAAGACAAATAAAACCAACTAGCTCCTTAACAATACAGTAGGTGCTAGCAACTTAAGAGGCAATGATTACAGTGAAGGTGATTGATAGAAGTAAAATTTCTTGGATTTCCCCCCGAAAATATTATATACATGCCAATAATATATAGAAATATTTAGGTACAGTAGCAGCTAAGAGCTGTGTGGTACTAATGTCTGTAATTTAGTTGTTTTAAGTTGAAAAACTTTTTTTTGTTTGTTTCAGAAACAGACTGAGATTAGCCCCCAACAAGCTTCAAAATGTTTAATATGAATATTATATTCGTATACATTTGTGACCCTTTGCATGTCTTCTTCTCCAGTACGATGCCATCCGAGTGAACCAGCTGTACGAGCAGGCCAAGTGGGCCATTCTTCTGGAGGAGATCGAGTGCACGGAGGAGGAGATGATGATGTTTGCAGCTCTGCAGGTTGGTCCAGGAGCTCAGGGAGGAGGAGGAGATGAGGTTTGGAGCTCAGGGAGGAGGAGGAGGAGGAGGAGATGAGGTTTGCAGAAGGTTGGTCCAGGAGCTCAGGGTTTTACTGGAGCAGAAGTGCAGAGTCAGACTCTGTCAGGGTTTCCTGAGCCAGTGGGCACTGATCCCTCTCATCTTCTCCCTAATGAATTAGAATGGCTGCTGGCCACGAGGACGATTCTGCAGGAGAAGCACTTAAATAGTGTTGAACAAAGTGTGAGAAACATGATCATGTGCATCAGCGGTGGACAGAGAAGTGACAATCTGTACTCAAGTATAAGTCGCATGGCTAGAATTATAAGTACTGCTGCCACATTTGCACTTAAAGCTACATTATGTAACTTTCTGGAGGTGGCACATGATCTGCATGACTCAATTTAAATGCTTCATGCTGTGGAAGATTATAACCAAAGAAAAAACTTTTCTCTGGAAACAAGTAGGAGTCTCTGCTCCAGGCTAAATAAAAGTCAGGTTTGGTGAAGATGCAAGCCCGCTCAGAGGAAGGACACAGGTTTTTCTAGTTTTTACAGTCCAGTTAATGAAAAAAACGTGCTTTATTTTTTGGCATAAAGTTGAATACAGCATAAAAACAGCTTAAAAATTATAGCATGGAAATCATTAGGGGCTTGAACGATCATGCAATGGTCATTAAATGGACTTAATAACAGATTCTCCTTCCTGTAAACAACTAGAGTTGTTGAGTTTCAGAGTAGCTGGCTCCTTCCTTCAAGCCAATTATGTAAGTCAATGAGTTCCATGACCCTGTCAGAACTGAAGAAGCCTCTTGGACGAGTCACTGAACTTTTGCCCAGTTGACAGAATTCCGTTTTCCTGTATGTGACTCATTTTGCCACTGGAGAAGATGCTAGCCCCTCTCGCTGTCCTCCGAGGGGTGGTGACCCTTGCTATTTTTTCCCTCCATAAAGCCCTGGTGCCAAGACCTTGGGACGCCACCCTGTCCTCACCGCGGGGGTAATTATAGTCCAGGACCACCCACCCCACCCAGACACCCCCACAGAGACCCGCAGACACCCCCGTAGACCGGAGAGGAGCATTCCTACCTAGGCCGTCCTGACACTACGGTGGACGTGATGTGTGTAGAGTTACGCCGAAGTGTCTCCCGTTGCAGCGGACTTCACAGAGACGCTAATCCGAGCTGTTGCTACCTGTCTGTTAGCACGTTTGTCGCTGTTATGAGTCAGTGGGCAGGCTTAGTTAACAGGGCAGGGGTCGGGTTTCACTACGGGCTGCAGATTTAAACAGGATGTGAGTAAACGTGATGCGCTGTTTGGGAAGTCCGTGTTTTACAAATCTGCAAATGGATATATGGTACGGTGACTACGGTGGCTCCATAGAGTCCAAATGTCTGCTGGGAAAACGTGGACAGTAAATTGGTAGAAAATGGAAAACTATTTTTGCCTTTTTTTTGTTTCCTGGGCTATGATAATATGACTTTATTTAGATATAGTGGTCCCAGTTTTGAGCCCTGTGTCTTTGTAGATTTATCCAAAACCATTGATTTGTCCCAGTTTTACACGAGAAATGTCCAAAGTGTCCCTCTTTTTGACCAATTTTATACCTGCCAGTGATAAAGAGAAGGTTATATTGACTTTTTTTTTTAGGTAAAATACAGAACAGCTGCTTTAAAATGACCAAAACACAAAGAAAATGTGACTATACGGACTTGCATCGTGAAGCGCCTTCTGCGACGTCAAATGCGTCATAGTTGTAGCTGCCGCGTCATCGTTGTAGCTGCTTTAGATCGTTGTCACGTGGGACTGTGGCAGAAATACGCTGCAATTTGTTAAAAAAAAAAAAACGCCAAATCAATCTAAAAACCACTTCGGAGACACATGCAAGGCTCACACATCACTCTTAGAAGGTAGAAAGCTCTGAAAAGTTGATTTTGCATGAGATGGGCCCTTTAATTACACACTTTTTTATTTTATTATTACCAAGAATTCCTAACCTAAAGTGTCCCAGTTTTTTATTTTGAAAATCTGGTCACCCTATCTATGTATTAATCTGTAAATTGTTATTACATTTTGGATTTGTTTGCGAGTAGAAGGCTAAAGGAACAGAATAGTTGCTGTGACATGGGCCTAAAAGATAAATCCTGTATGACCATCTGTATAGAATAATAGGGATGACAGAATTACCGGTAATAGATTTTTCAATTGAGAGGCTCAAAAATAAATTGTAAATTGATGGACAGATTTGCAATAATATCTGATTTTAAAGGTACAGTATGCAAGAATGAGAACTTCACACATGAACATAGAGAAAATTCAAGTGAAAATTTACAACGTTTTTGACAGCTACAGTATGCAACTTTCTGGAGGTGGCCTGCATGATTCCATCTTAAAATAAACTTTTCCATGGAAGATTTACAACTATAACAACGATAACAAAAAGCAGTTTTTTATGGGCAATAAAAACAACCAAAATTACCAAAAAAAAAATCATGTTTTCCCAATGTATTTCGGACCAAAATCTTACTGCAGCTTTGAAACGAATCCATTCTCCTTCTGAAATAGAACTTGCTTTCAACATTCAACTAAATGGTGGTTAAGAGTTACAGGGACTAGGTAACATTTTACATTTTTACACCCCATTGTTTCATCCATATATACAACAATTTAAACAGAAACATAAATATAAATCTCCTAAAGGTTGTAGTAAAAATAAAAATAGAGAGCTAAAATTAGATGGAGACTAAGTAAAATAGTAATGATAATTTAATTTAAAATAAATACAATAATAATAATAATAATAATTTAAGTTAAAACGGGTATAAGTTTCAATTAAAAGCTAAATTAAAAAGATACGGTTTGGGTTTACTTTTAAAAATATGAACACTCGCAGTGGACCTCAGATCCTCAGGCAGACTGTTCCACAAACGGAGGTCGTAAAAAAGGTAAATCCTGGAATCCTGGAACCCTGGAAATCCTGGAAAAGTCATGGAAATTTGTGAATTCAGTGAAAGATTTGGAAAAGCCATGGCATTTTAGTATCTCTTTCACACAACTACAGCGTTCTGTGAAGTTCTCATTAGACTATTATGATTATTTCCGAACGTCTGCGCCTTTTGTTTAAAGACGACAGTAAATGCACTGACAGTATTTTGAATGTTAAAAAAACTAAAATAATAGTTTAATATATAATAATACCAAACCATAAGGTGAGTGGAAAGGGTTAACATTTCATATTTAGCCCTAAAAGTTTGATAAATTCTTCACATATAGGTGCCGTAAAGTCATGGAAAATTTACTTAAGTCTTGAAAAAGTTTTGAAATTTTGTCAGTGAAAAAGAGTGAAAATGTTGTTCCATTGTAAATAATCAGTATTTAACAATAATATTAAATGTAAACAGTGTTATGACTTCACACAAGTTAAAAAAATTGATATATAAACGTGTCTATTCTCTTCACGTTTGACTTTGACACATTTCGGCGGCTCCGGTGACGAGCTAAACGCCGTAAACCTAGAGCCGAGCCCTTTGTCCCACATTCTGTTAGCCTAGCCTCCCGTTAGCTTCCCGTTAGCCTCCCGTGACCGTCTGAATATCTCTATCCAGCCACTCCGACATATCTCATCCTGCGCGCAGCTGTTCATTCGCGTATCGCCGCCCGGGTGGGGGGTCGACATTATAAATACCATTTGTCAACAGGTCTTATTTAGTGTCTGACGCAGCGAGCAGGAAATACGCTAGGCCCTTACAGTAACGAACCCCGACGGATGATTCTCCTTTGTTAGCTCGACCGGCACATGTCGCTAGTAAAAAATGTTTATAGCTCGTTAGCGTCCTGAGAACATACGGTCCGCCTCGCAGCACATGTTTGTTTATCTGCGCGGATAATTGTCCAAAAAGGTGCACGTTGCTAATCCTAAACTTGTAAACGAATCACAAGAATTTTGGTATTTATTACGGTAATTATCACAGTCAAATGAGTTTTTATAAGTGGTGACACGGCACAATGAGCAGAAATATTAACTGAATAAAAATTTAGTTGGAATTTTGTTGACGAAGCGTAAGTTTTTTTGTTGATGTAGGGTTTTTTTTTGTGTTGTTTAGGGTTTAAGATTAGCTGACCATCTAAACGATAATATACAGGGTTCCCACGGTCATGGACTTCCTGGGAAAGTCATGGAAATTGAAAATGTCAAGTTATCATTAGGCTATTATGATTATTTCCGAACGTATGCGCCTTTTTTTTAAATAAGAGACGACAATAAATGCACTGACAGTATTTTGAATGTTAAAAACTATAAAACCAAACCATAAGGTGAGTGGAAAGGGTTCACATTTCATATTTAGCCCTAAAAGTCTGATCAATTCTACACATGTAAGTGCCGTAAAGTCATGGAAAATTCACTTTAGGTCATGGAAAAGTTTTGAAATTTTGTCAGTGAAAAAGAGTGGGAACCTTGAATATAAATAGACGGGAGATGATGTTTTTGTAATTAAGAATAAATCACCATTACAGTTGTTATCAGTAAAATATTTGATTTAAAACTGTTTACCTTGTATCTGGGAACATAGATAAGTCAGGTTTATAGATTTTAAAGCAGACCTCTTCTGCAAAATGGACTTTTTAGAGCGTTTAACCTTGTTATTGTTGTTTATTTTTATCATTTGGAGTGATTTGTACATGTTTGAGCAATCTTTAAACGCTTATTTTCAAAATGACATTGCTGATCAACTCCTGCTTTTACCGTCCCTGGTATATGCCCACTTTTCTGTACTAATTTTGTTGTTTAGGGTTTAAGATTAACTGGCCATCTAAATTATAATATAAATAAACGGGAGATGATGTTTTTGTAATTAAGAATAAATCACCATTACAATTGTTATCAGTAAAAGCTATATTTGATTTGAAACTGTTTACCTTGTATCTGGGAACATAGATAAGTCAAGTTTATAGATTTTAAAGCAGACCTCTTCTGCAAAATTGACTTTTTAGAGCATTTAACCTTGTTATAGTTTTTTCTTCTTATCATTTACACCCTCAATGTTGTATTTAGAGTGATTTGAACATGTTTGAGCAATCTTTAAACACTTAATTTCAAAATGACATTGCTGATCAACTCCTGCTTTTACCGTCCGTCTGTAATAACTTTGGTTGTTGTTTAGGGTTTAAGATTAGCTGGCCATCTAAATTATAATATAAATAAACGGGAGATGATGTTTTTGTAATTAAGAATAAATCACCATTACAGTTGTTATCAGTAAAAGCTATATTTGATTTAAAACGGTTTATTTGTACAGCTTTTAACCTTGTTATAGTTGTTTTTATTTAACCTCTCAAAGTTGTATTTGGAGTGATTCGTGCATATTTGAGCAATCTGTAATCACTTACCGGCCATGTTTACATGTTTTTTCATTCCGAATTAATTGTTCGGAATTAAATAGTTCGGAATTAAAATATTCTCCTTTGAGCTTACATGGAAATAATAATTACGAATTGAGGTTTAAATGGAAAAGCACGTTAAATCGCCTTTATTTAATTCCACTCAACGTCTGGGGAGAGGAATAAATTAATTTGGATTTAAAATAAAAATAAACCTCCCACTTACTTCAGAATTAATTCCTATTGAAAATTATTATTCGGAATTAAATTTAAGTGTTTACATGGTCTTTTTAAAGCAATTTTTTTTTCAAATTCAGATTGTAATTATTTTTATTCAGAATTAAATAATTTTTATTCGGAATTAAAGCTCTCATGTAAAAACAATATGGCAATTTTTAAAAGGCCATATTGCCTATCAACTCCCACTTTTACCGTCCTTTTCTGTACTAACTTCATTCTCCAATTTCACTTTCTCAATCAGTGATACACGTAGGATTCGGCAAAGTCGCATCATTTTGTTTGGTACAAATAAAAGCGTGATTTGCTGTGATGACGTTTACGGTGACGTCAGCCTGTTTTCTGATGTGGTCATTTTTGTGAAACTGGACCCTCCTTCTCATTTTTTAGGCTTTATATACGATTTTGTTTCTTCCGTGCATTTTGATGATTTGAGTCACAAAGCAACCGACATCTTGAAATGCATTCAGACAGTCCACCCCAAAAATGACCTAATTTTTAACCACTCCCGAAAATGTCATCTGCGTCCTTCTCTCGCTGTGGTCGCTAACACAATAACAAAAACAAAAACAAAGCAACGCTGACGTAATCCAAGAGTAATAACTTTTCACCAAGACACAGTTTCGCAACAGTTTATTTGAATTCTGTGCGTGTGGTTAATGTTTCTCTCTTTGTCATTGCAGTACCACATCAACAAGCTGTCCATCATGTCCTCGGACAACCACCTGAACAACAGCGAGAAGGAGGTGGACGAAGTGGACGCCGCGCTGTCCGACCTGGAGATCACACTAGAGGGAGGGAAGACGTCCAACACACTGGTACGACCCCAAGATACTCACGTTCTACAGGGTTTCAAGTAGATTATTACAGTTTGTATAGCTGTGGCTCTCAAACTTCTCACACCACGTACCACCAAAGAAAAAATCTGGCTTTCGGAGTTCCACCAGGTCTATAAAAGGTCGATTCCAGGTCTAATTCAGGGCTAAACCATGTCTAAAAGTGGACTATAAGGCTACGTTCACACTGCAGCCTGAAGTGACCCAAATCCGATTTTTTTGGCCTCCTATGTGACCTGTATCTGATCTTTTAATGACAGTCTGAACGACACAGATCCGATTTTTTCAAATGCGACCCAGGACACTTGGATATGTGCTCCTAAAACCGATACATATCTGATCTTTTGACATGTGACTTCAGTCTGAACGGTCAAAGCGCATTCATCCCACCTACACGTTATCAACAAGCCACAAACGTCACTATTCTGCGCTGAAGTAGGCGAAAATTGTTAATGAACTCCGTGTCACTGAAGTGAAGCACATCACCACTCACCACTCTTGGCTACGTCTCCACATCCACACGTTCCTTTCAACGGACGTCGCTGCCGCTGCCCCACAAAACACCACGACCAAAAACCTCGTCCTTCTCCTTCTCAATCTCCTCCTTAAAACAAGTAAGTTGTTCATGTTCTGGCTCCGGTACGAGAGGAACTTTAAAATCTCCAGGTGCTCAATGCTCGCGTCCATGTTTGGACAACTTCCGTAAACACAGAGACGCTCGCTGCAGTTGACGTCATCGTGTCTCCAGTGCACATGCGGGACACTTTTGGGCCGTTCAATGTTCACACTGGAGTCACATACAAGTCACATTTAATTGGAAATGTGAACGACCTCGCAAAAACATCGGATTTCACCAAAAAAATCCAAACTGAGCATTAAACCATGCAGTCTGAAAGAAGTCTAAGTTCCACTGTAGCTCTAAACAAGAATGTATCCAAACAAGGAGAAAAAGGTGGATAAAATTAACTCTAAACTAAACCCACAAACAGAAGCGTTGTTAAGAACCACCTGATGAAGCTCACGTACCACACAGAAACACTGCACTAGTGTTTGTCAGAGCTAAAGTTGGTTGTCCGTGATGAATATAATGATTTCTGGCTGTGAGGAAAACCATTTCACAGTGATAGCATTAGAACAGAATGAACTTAGAATGGGAACATTGTAAACCATGTACCGTAATTTCCAGACTATTGAGCACACCTGAATATAAGCCGCATCGACTAAAAAAGAAAAAGAAAGTTACATATATAGGCCGTGCTTGTAAGCTCTTGTAAACTACAGGTCTCCACATTGTAACTTGAGATATTTACCGTATTTTCCGGGTTATTGGGTGCGCTCTTAAGCCTCTAACCCCATAAAAAAACGACAAGCCCCACAATCCAGAGCGCCCTATACACGAATCCGCTCAGGTGTCCCAGCACGAATTCAGTAAACTACAAAACCGCACCAATCGCAGCGCACGCAAACACACACGGACCAGAGAGCGACTGCACAGTGAAAAACACCCAGAGACACACTCATCACGCCACACCGACGAGGAACGGAACGGAGGAACGAACCGAAAAAGCGAGTGCAATGTTCCACTTCTAGACACGACTGAACAACTGAGTCACTGCGAACACGCCGACAATCCAGCGGTCCCAGACAGCACCCTCCTTACACGCCACAACTGAACAAAGCCCAGAGTCACCGTGAACACGACAAACAAAGTCCCACTGACCCGTCCAACTGTTTTTTTCATTTTTTGTTTTTTTTTTACTCGGAAAATAGACCATTCTATGACAGTGCGCCTAGTGCTTCAAATATGGTACACAGCAAGATGGGATACTTTTTCCAAACAGTGCCTGTAACACGGCAGTAAAACAACAGTACTACGATTACATCACTCTATTGCGCATGTCTCCTGCAGAAAGAGCCGCTGTCCTGTCTGGTATCATGTCAGTGTCTTGTAGGATTTCAGCAGATTTCAGGCTCTTCCGGGGTTGGGGCTAGTTGTATCGATCAGGTATGAGTGGATGTCCGGCTACTGAAGTTTGAGACGTTTCTTTTACGCACCCACCTGCATTTAACGTATACTGGTCATTAAGACGTATCCCACTCACGCATGTTCATTTGGCATCATAACTTATTTTATCACACGGCGATAAACTGTGTTGACAACATTTCTACACAAATACATCCGTCCATATTCGCTGCATCGTTGTTTAAGTCACAGAGTTCAAAGTCTGAGAAAAAAAAGTAGGGGCTTACAGGGTTCCCACGGTCATGGAAATCCTGTAAAAATCATGGAATTTTAGTATTTCTTTCACACAACTGCAACGTTCTGTTAAGTTACCATTAGGCTATCATGATTATTTCCGAATATTTGCGCCTTTTGTTTAGAAGAGACAACAATAAATGCACTGACAGTATTTTGAATGTTAAAAAACTATTATCCCAAACCATGAGGTGAGTGGAAATGGTTAACATTTTATATTTAGCCCTAAAAATATGCTCAATTTTACACATGCAGGTGTTGTAAAGTCATGTAAAATTCACTTTAGGTCATGAAAAAGTCGTGGAAAAGTTTTGAAACTTAGAAAAATAGTGGGAACCCTGGTCTTATAGTTTGGAAATTACGGTAAAATAATTTGCCTTTACCTAGTATGAAGACTGTAAATAGTATCTTCAGTGTTTCCAGTATTTTCTTGGTAATAACATACATTTTCCCTATACCATAATTGTCAGTTGTTACACTCTAGTCTCTCTGTTAAACGCAACCTTTGACTGAAAATGGACTTGAGAGCCAAGACTAAAAAAGTTCAACAAGGCCTCTTTCTCTCTCAAAAATGCATCGTTCCACTCTTGAACACTCCACTTGAAGAATAAAAACATTACGCCTCACCATTCTGGAGTAAAGTGGTGTTTTGAGTCTTGTTCTGTACCATGTTTGGTTTTGGACCGTGCTGACCTGGCCTGCACTTAGTTTTTACTGCAGTGGAAATGAGGCTTAGGATGATTCAGCCTTTACCGCCATGTCATCTGTCACTGACTTATTTTGGCTTTCTCTTCCCTCAGGGTGACATCACGGCTATTCCCGAACTCGCCGACTATGTCAAGGTCTTCAAGTAAGTCCCCTGTCGTACGAGGAGGTCCGCTATCTCGTGCGCTGGCCTTTTTTTTTTTTTTTCAGAACGTAAGCAAATGGGAAGGTGAAGGTTAGACCGGTCCCAGATTTGTCAGGGAGAGACCAGAAGCAGCATTTTATGTCCAGTTCAAAGGCGCACGTCTGGTTTGTTTCATTATAATGAGACTTGGGGGCTTGCCAGAAAACCATGTGTAAGCAGACGTTAAGTTTGCAGCTCTGTGGACTTATCGCAGTTGCAAAAGAGATACTGTGACTTTGAACCATGACAAACTTTTGGATTGGCCCTTCTTTATCCGAGGTCGGCTCCAGCCAGTGTTAGCGACCGGTTTAACGCTGTCATCGCCTCTTTTGTACCCGGTGCACACAGCGTTGCTTATTTGTACTGATTATTATGAACATGTAATCACAAAACTTTGCCATAAGAAAGCGTAGTTTTTAATTTAAGGTGACCAGGCGTCGCTTTTTACCGGGGACAGTCCCAGTTTTGAGGTCTGTGTCCTTTTGGTCCAAGCAGATTTATCCAAAACCACTGATTTGTCCCAGTTTTACTCAAGAAATATCCAAGGTGTGTTTATCAAAATATTTTTATTGCTTTCAAAACATCAAATATATACATTTATACATGCTACTGGCAGGTAACTAACTCACAAATGTCAGTTCTGCAGAGCTGGAAAAAAAGAAGTCCAAGTTGCGAGTTCCACTTCTAAAAGATCCACAGATCCACTTGTAAAATGGCACAAGAAATAATAGATGGAAGAGAAAAAAAAAACAAAAACAAATCCCCCCCAAGAAAAAACAAAGAAAAAAGAAAAAGACAAGACAAAAAACATGTAAAACAACCCAAATCCAAACTAGTATATCTATGCCAGGTGCTGTATTAATTCACATATTCTTTTCTTATTCTTTTTAAAGAGCTGAATAAAACTGCAGGTGTCCCTATTTTTGACAAATTTGATCCCTGCCAACAGTAAATAGAGGCATAAATTGTCATTTGTTTAGGTAAAATACAGAAAAGTTGCTTAAAAATGGCCAAAATTCCAAGAAAATGTGACTATACTGGCTCATGTTAGTCATGAAAGTGCAGAACAATTCTCCTTAATAATTACGCACTCGTTTCACAATTTTATTATTACCAACCGGGTGTGTCTAAGTTTTTTTTTATTTTGGAAGTCTGGTCACTCTACTTTAATCTCTATTTTAGCAAGAATGTCTTATTAGAATCTATTCAGTCACTTGTTAACAACACGTCGGAGCCTTTCATGAGTGATTACGTTGTTTTTCCATGTACAACACAACAGTTTGTATTAAAGTGGACAAGTTTAACTCCTGCTCAAATAATTTACATCCCAACTCCGGAACTCGCCACCCTCTGAGATCAGAGGAGTCGGCTCTCTGGAATTGTTCAGAATTAAACATAAGATGCAGTTTTATAAATTAGCGTTCAGCTCATTTAAATGATGCAAACTTATTGGCACTAAATGGGCTCTTGTTAATCTTGTTCCTCTACTCTAATTAATTGTTTTCTGTAATTGACTGTATATTATTTTATTGTTCTGATATTGTAATTCTGTTTTTATTATGCCTCAGGAAAGCACCTTGAGTTTCTACCAAGCACCAAAGGCAATTTATAAAACAATACTTGTAGTTGTTGTAGTAGCTGTAGTTGTTTTTGTAGTTGTAGTAGTTGTTGTAGTAGATGTTGTTGTTGTTGTAGTTGTTATAGTAGTTATTATAGTAGTAGTTGTTGTTGTTGTTGTTGTAGTAGTAGTTGTTGTAGTCATAGTTGTTGTTGTAGTAGTCATTGTAGTAGTAGTAGTAGTCATTGTAGTTGGTGTAGTTGTTGTAGTCGTTGTTGTAGTAGCTGTAGTTGTTTTGTAGTAGTTGTAGTAGATGTTGTTGTTGTTGTAGTTGTTATAGTAGTTATTATAGTAGAAGTTGTTGTTTGTAGTAGTAGTAGTAGTAGTGTTGTTGTTTGTAGTCATAGTTGTTGTTGTTGTAGTCATTGTAGTAGTAGTAGTAGTCATTGTAATTGGTGTAGTTGTTGTAGTCGTTGTTGTAGTAGCTGTAGTTTGTTTTGTAGTTGTAGTAGATGTTGTTGTTGTTGTAGTTGTTATAGTAGTTATTATAGTAGTAGTTGTTGTTTGTAGTAGTAGTAGTAGTTGTTGTTGTTGTAGTCATAGTTGTTGTTGTAGTAGTCATTGTAGTAGTAGTAGTAGTCATTGTAATTGGTGTAGTTGTTGTAGTCGTTGTTGTAGTAGTCATTATCATTGTAGTAGTAGTTGTAATAGAAGTTGTACTTGTAGTTGTAGTATTAGTTGTAGCAGTTGTGGTAATAGTTGTTGTCGTTGTAGTAGTCATTGTAGTTGTAGTAGTAGTAGTAGTAGTTGTTGCAGTAGTGGTAGTCGTTGTCGTAGTTGTTGTTGTAGTAGCAGTCACAGTAGCTGTTGTTTTTGTAGTAGTTTTTGTAGTAGTAGTTGTAGTTGTTATAGTAGTAGTAGTTGTTGTAGTTGTAATAGTAGTAGTAGTTGTAGTTGTTATAGTAGTAGTAGTTGTTGTAGTTGTAATAGTAGTAGTAGTTGTAGTTGTTGTAGTCATAATTGTTGTTGTAGTAGTCATTGTAGTTGGTGTAGTTGTTGTAGTCGTTGTTGTAGTAGTTGTAATAGAAGTTGTACTAGTAGTTGTTGTAGTTGTAGTATTAGTAGCAGTAGTTGTTGTTGTGGTAATAGTTGTAGTCGTCGTAGTAGTCGTTGTAGTTGTAGTAGTTGTAATAGTAGTAGTTGTTGTTGCAGTAGTAGTAACAGTCACAGTAGCTGTTGTTGTTGTTATAGTAGTAGTTGTTGTAGTAGTAGTAGTAGTAGTAGTTGTTGTAGTTGTAGTTATAGTAGTCATTATAGTAGTTGTTGTAGTAGTGTGTAGTAGTAGTAGTAGTAGTAGTAGTAGTAACAGTAGCAGTCGCAGTAGCTGTTGTTGTTGTTAGTAGTAGTAGTAGTTGTAGTAGTAGTAGTAGTAGTAGTAGTAGTAGTAGTAGTAAGTAGTTGTTGTTGCAGTAGTTAGTAAGTAGTTAGTAGTCGTGTAGTAGTCGTAGTGTTAGTAGTAGTAGTAGTAGTAGTAGTAGTAGTAGTAGTAGTAGTAGTAGTAGTAGTAGTAGTAGTAGTAGTATGTGGGCATCCAGTATGAAAATGGCAGTGACACGACCTTATTGCTGAGCGTCCGGCCTCTGCCAAACCCGAGCTGTGGGCCTGAATCAACTTGAACCTCCAACAACCACTTTCCTGATCGTCTCTTTATTTCCCGTAAAACTCACAGTCAGAACTCTGCCCCACATTCCCCGACTTCAAGTGGCTCCAGCAAAACAATACGGCCTCGCTTCGTCCACTTGTGTCTAATTTATGACCCCGCTTGACCCGATCCCGCTCCATCCTCACCTTATCGTCTTTAGTGTTACCTTCCTATGACATCCTGTAAGCGAACATGTGTGTCCTGTGCTCCTGTGCAGACCCAAGAAGCTGACCCTGAAGGGCTACAAGCAGTACTGGTGCACGTTCAAGGACATCACCATCTCCTGCTACAAGAGCAAAGAGGAGGCCCACGGCACGCCCGCCCTCCAGATGAATCTCAGAGGTACACGCTGTCCATATTGGGTATCATCTGGGATTTTTACCAGTAAAAATAGTCAAATTCTGAAGATAGTATTGCGTTATTTTTTTTCTTGAGAATGATTTTTGGCTGCTCCTCCACCTCTGCCTGTAACCAAAGGCAGTGAGTCAGGAGAGCGGCATGAAAGGTTAAGCGGTAACATCGCTGTGCGCAGGTTGTGAGGTGACACCAGACGTGAACATCTCCGGGCAGAAATTCAACATCAAGCTGCTGATTCCTGTGGCTGACGGCATGAACGAGATCTGGCTCCGGTGTGACACGGTGAGAAATAGCTCGTTTAAAATAGCCCAGTTCGTTATGGAAGGTGCAGGGTCAATCAAACACGCAAAGTGAACAAGTGACTCCTCGTCCTACTTCTTTAAAGTCCTTGACAAAAACAAACTGTGTAATTACTTTTACACAGATAAATAATGTTTAGCTTAAAAAGTCACCATTTTATAAAAAAGTGAGATTTTGACTATAGTGGTTTTCCCTTCTCATTTACATCAGGCATGTCTGTGTAATCTTTATTCTCTTGCATTCAAGACGTGGTTGCTTGGAAATCTGACTGCAGAAATGCTCAGATTTTGTTCTATGGAAACTGAACAGGAGACCTCCAGACCTTTATCTGTGATGTAACAATCCCAGGAAAATCAAAATCATGTGTTATTTGAGTGCTTTCAGGGAATGGATTTAACAATATATGTCTTCTTTATGGTCCCATATTTTGTGTTCTCCAGGCAAAATATAAGGTCTTAAAATAATATGGAAGTATAAACAGGGCAATGATGCACTGTAATCATATAAATGTAAGTGATCAGGATAAACTGTATTAATCATAATCGTCCCTGCTGCAGGAGAAGCAGTACGCTCACTGGATGGCTGCGTGCCGTCTGGCCTCTAAAGGGAAGACCATGGCCGACAGCTCGTACAACCTGGAGGTGCAGAACATCCTGTCCTTCCTCAAGATGCAACACATGAACCCCGACCCCCAGTTCATCGAGCCCATCTCCACAGACATCAACCCCGAGTGCCTCGTGTCCCCACGCTACCTCAAGAAGTACAAGAACAAGCAGGTAACACCAACCACCAGTCTGCACTCATCTGATCTAAACACGAGAGTCTTTTCCCCAACAAGTACAAGGAGGTAACACCTACACTGAGTGTGTACTGAGTTCAACATGAGAGTCTTTTAATCAAAAAATACAAGAACAAGGAGGTAACACCAACCCTCAGTCTGTACTGATCTGTTCTAAAGCTCTGCAGCAGTGCAGTGTTTCTATCTATAATGAATGTGGCACATTTTATTGGGTTTGGGGAAAGTTTGTTTGCTTTTATGAAGGAACATGATATTCAATATTCAGTGTTTCATTGTAGATTTAATCTGAAAAATGCAGTTACAAATGGGTACAATGTCCCTGTACACAAAGGCAGTCTGAGCTGTGGAGACCGACGATCTAATGCTAATATTTGCAAATGTGCTTTTGACCTTGGCCCGGCACAGGCCGACTCTGCTGTTACAGTGACTTCACTGAAGTAAACCAGTCTTTGTGCCTGGGCGGTTCAGTCTGAGTTATGTTCTATAATGAGTCTGTGTGTTATGAATGTACCTCCAGTCTGTGTTTCACCAGTGGACTGAGTTTCAATGGAGAGTTTCACCTTTGTTCTCTTTATTCTATAAACAGCATTCACAATGATCCTTATTCTTGGATCCTTTCTGTGCTAAACGTAGCCGGTGTTTGCACACTGCTGTCCACATGTTTTCAGCGGTTGCTAATGTTGTGTATGTAACTGGGCAGAGTGACTTGTGGCGGCTCCTCTTGGCATGAGGGCACCAGGGCTGTACCAGGCTGGAACACAGCCTCCCTCTCCTCTCTCCTCTCCCACTCACGTTCACATACTGCCTGTACAAACCTTTGCATTTATGAAACAAAGAAAAACACATGTATTTGTTTAACATTTTTCCTGCCTGAACAGTACAGGCATATTGTTAAAAAGAAATGATACCCGTGCTAGATTTGTGATATTAAACTGGTTTAAAAATCTATAAATATAACTCGAAACTCCAAAATTCTTGAGTAAAACCATGTGGGGCTGAGCTGAATGTTGACACTCCAGTCAAACCCTCCCCCTCTCCCCTTCTCCCCCCCTCCCCCTTTCCCCTTTTCCCCTTCTGCCCCTCTCCCGCCCTCACAGCCACGTCCCTGCCCCGGCGTGACTTCATACACCCACACGACGCTCTGTCCCGTTAGCTTTAGCACTGGCCAGCTCCTAGTTTACGCCGAGCGGATTTACACGCGAGCTGTGTGTACTCTGCACCAGCTGAGCACATACCCCGCTGTCAGAGAGGCCGGGGAGGAGACCGGGGAGGAGGGAGAGGAAGGAGGGAAGAGGGAAGAGGGAAGAGGGGGAGAGTTGACGTCCCAAAACTCCCTCACCTCTGCTCTGCTTTTGTTGAAGTTGTAGTAGGCCTGTGGAATGTTACTGGGATGTACAGTCACTGCTGCTTGTTCATGAGTCAGAAATAGCATGTTAGCGTCAGGGTCGGCCATATTTAGACTGTTACCGAGCGCGCTGACCACATCTGATACTACGCAGAGAACACAGGGTTGGCTTAAGGCTGATTATTTTTTGGAGCAGGTCTTAAAAACACGAGAATTAGTTCGTTTTAAACAGTTTGCAGTGCTCCAAAGTTACTCCTCGCTTACTTTATCCATTCGGAGCGTTATAATTATTCACCGCGACGAGTTTATAAGCACGTTCCACGACCTCCAGACACCAGTGCGTAGTTTTAGCGTCACTGTAATGCTAACAGCGCACTTCCTGATTGTGTAAATGCCTTCTAATGAGGTGCAGACAGTACAGTGACTTATTCCACGCTTATTTTGACCTCAAGAGTTGCAAATACATGGGGAAACAGGGCAAAAGGAAGCGCTGAGTCACAGTCACACATGGCCAGACGTACTTGTCATTATGAGTTGGCCAAATTGTGATTCAGTGTGTTTTGCAAAGTGCTTTTTAAGTTTTTTTACTATTGTAGGTGAGAATGTTTCAGGTCATTTAAAGCAGTGTTTTAAAAGTCACAAACCTTCGTGACCAAAGTCCATAAACACTATTCATAAATCACAAAATAAAAGTGGATTTGACCATTATTGAACATTAATGAGTGATCGTGTTTCTAATTAAGTTTTAAACGATGAAAAACAGTCATTGAAGCAGCAATAAAAGGATCCTTAAGTCGCCTATTTGGACATTAAATGTAGCCCATTTCTTTTTCTTTTCAACATTCAATTGAACCAGCAATATTGGAACAAAATGGGCAATAAAATAATTACAAAAAGATTAGAAATTATACAAAACATGTCCTAATGTTTCAACATTGATGATGATAATGAGATAAATGGCCCTGACTGTGTTTTTTTAGTGCAGGAGGAGACGCAGCAGCAGATCAGGTGCAGCATTCAATCTATTTCTGACCTTTGTCTTCATTTTGTGAGCACAGAAAATCCAAATTCACACATATGTATTAGTGAAAGGAATAAGCATAGAAATACTGTCCCTACTGAGGACAGGATATTCTGATGAAATGCTGATCCAGAATGACAGTAACACATCTGCTGACTCACTCGCTCTGTCATGTGTCAAAACTGTATTTTGCAAACCTACATACAGATCGTGACAAGGCGACTCAGAAAAAATCTCATGCGACCCGCTTGAGGGTCACGACCCAGTCTTTGGGAAACAGTGATCTAGCGGACTGCCCAGGCACAGTCAGTAATGCCAAATAGTATTCATGTTTGGAATTGTGGATGCAGTACCACATATTTTCACATTTTTTTATGCTTTATCAGTAACTGCAAGAATTAATCATACAGTATTTCTATTGAAACAGCTACAAATTTTGGACAATTATTCATTTTGAGAGATTAAAATTTAGGAAAATATAGCACATATCAGTTGTAAGGTTAGAAAATGGTTCATAAACACTGTAAGTATCTTCAAATTTGAACAGTGATTTTCATGTTTGTGGTGTTTCTGTAAGTTTTTGGATAAAAAAAAAAAAGTTACATTCTAAGAGGCAGTTTTATTTTTTATATTTTACATATACAAGGCCATGATTCGAACAACAGTCCAACAATTCAGTTAAACCTGCTTGTTGCCATAGATCCATCTTTGTGTAATTTGAACTACAGTGTTCCACAGTATGGCTTTAAAGCAGACCTACGTGAAATTCGACTTTTCAGAACTTTTAACCATGTCATAGTTGTTTCCCTGCTTGATTTGTTCACACAAAGTTGTATTTGGAGTGATCGCGGATCTTGGTTTAGACCTGGTTTTGTCCTGGTTTAGACCTGGTCCAGTCCCGATGTAGTCCGGGGGATCGACTCGGCGGTTGCGGCCTGTAAATATTTATGCTTATGACACTAGTTTAGACCTGGTCCAGTCCTGGTCCAGTCCTGGTGTAGTCCTGGTCCAGTCCTGGTGTAGTCCTGGTGTAGTCCTGGTCCAGTCCTGGTGTAGTCCTGGTGTAGTCCTGGTCCAGTCCTGGTCCAGTCCTGGCGATCGGCTCAGCAGTTGCGGCGTGTAAATATTTATAATCTGCAGATGACACTGCGTAGGTTCAGTCCTGGTCTAGTCCTGGTCTAGTCCTGGTCTAGTTCTGGTCTATTGGGCTGTGGGACTAATGGGCTGACCCCAATTTATCACGCCCATTTTTCAAGCTGTTTTAACAATGAAAAGCATCTGTAACTGAAATGCAAAATAGATAGATTTAATGCCGTACTGCGAAACATCCAGGCACAGCAATAACTACACAGAGTTATTGTATATTTCTAGATTTATGGTGTGTAATTATGGAGTATTTTTGGTATATTTTGTTGAATTATTTTGTTACAGCAGTTACAGTTTTGTTTGTTTAGAGGAAGGAAACTCATTTATGCGACTCATTTGACATTTTCACTGTTTTGATGATTAAAATGGGCGTGTTTCATAATAACTTTGCACGAGAAGTGGTTTAACAAAGAGTTTTAGTATCACAGCCTTGATTTAGCCTTTATTTTTACTGAACCATATTAAATCGATTTGAAATATATCGTATCGAATCGTAAGTGCACTGTATTGAGGTATGTATCGTATCGTAGAAAAGCTACACAGCGCCACTTACAACCAGCTTTATTCAGCGCACGTTTCCCTCTTGAATAAAAAGCACATTTCCCAGTTGTGGTTGTAGTCGGACTCTCCCCGGTCTCCTCTCGCCACACCCCGTCCAACCGGGCATCTCCGGGCCCCACATCAAACGCACCCTCCACCCCTCGCTCCTAGAGTAACGACCGCACTGTACATCCTCCATTCACACACACGTAGTCCCCGGTGTAGCAGGAAGTGAGGCGCTCCCGGGACACCCGCCCTCGCCGCCTCTCCCCTCTCCTCGTCCGTGGACTTCCGGAGTTGAGGGAGACTTCCTGGTTTTTGCAGATGGAGTGAGGATTAGACACAGGAAATGGGACGGGTAGAGCAGGGACAGGATTTGTGAGAATGAAAAGTCCTCCAGGGTGAACATGTGGCACGGCTGGTCACTGCTGCTGTGGGCTCTGGACGTGTGGCGCCCTCTTGTGGAGAGTTGATGCATTACGTCTTGATTTTTCCTCCTATTTATTCTAGCGTGCACTTCTTGTTCTGCAAATCACTTTAGATGACTTTGTGAACCGATTGTGCTTTGTCTGAGTTTAGAATTGTTCATTAGTTTTGGCATTTTAGCAGTGTTCTTCTTAGTTTTTAGGTTTTAACCAAATAGATCAATATATCAGGTCAATATTTGTACTTTTTAGAGCACAGGTGTCAAACATAAGGCCCAGGGGCCAGATCCGGCCCTCCAAGACCTTTAATGTGGCCCTCGGCTGATTTTCTACTAAAATATTTTAATTATATTTTCTGTTAAAATATTGGTAATTTTCTGTGCTGGTGTTTATCACAGCAGCGTCTCCAGCGTCTCTGTACGTGGCCCCTCCCACCAGAGCAGCACAAATGAAGACTTGTCTCTTTCCAAACGCTCTTAAAGGACGATCGTTTTGACTGTTGACCGTGACACCCTCATCAGAAAAATGTCCATCATGAGAAAAGTGCAGGATTTTCCAAGAAAAATTGACTTATTCCTGTTTGCATACAAGTTATTGTTAAAACATTGTGTTGAAATTGAATTTTTCTTCAAGTTTCAGGTTCTTCATAATATTATAATATTATAATAAGAAAGAGTTCATCAATTAAAAAAGATTTCTGTAATAGATTTGTGTTTCTCTGCACAAATATTTGAACTTATTGTTATTTTTGGGGTTTATATGACATGAGTTTTCTTCCGAACCCTTTGGGATCAAAGTAGGTTGGATTCGGCCCCCGGACCAAAATGAGTTTGACACCCCTGTTTTAGAGCAAACTGATGGTTTTCGACCTGAAATCTCAAGCACAGATTTCAGTATTTATTTTTGCAAACCAATCGCGTCCATATACATTAAGAGCATTTGAACATTAAACATGTTCAAATTAAATATAGCTTTTAGTAGAGGAGGGTGATAACTTTTTTAATGTCGCAGAAGCACATTGTTCCTACATGAACTGCCTCTTCGCACTTCAGAAAAAAAAAGACCTTGTGCAATTTGGCATATTTGTTTTTGCGGGGTTATTTTTCCTGTACAGATATCGAGATATATATTATATATCAAGATATAGCAAAATATATCGAAATATATTTTTTGCTCCATATTGCCCAGCCCTAGCTTTTACTGATAACAATTGCAATGCTGATTTATTCTTAATGACAAAAATAACGTACATGATGGCCCATTCATTTGCGTTTTGAGCAACTATCCAATCAGAACGCCGAATGAGCCTCACAAGAAGTTTTAATGTTGAAATCCAGTTGGTTTAAACCTAAAAGTGCAGTGCAAAAATATCTAATTAATACCTAGACAATTTTTAAATATTTTTTAATTTATGTCTTTATTTTATTTTTTTTATTTTATTTTGTATTTTATTTTATTTATTATTATTTTTTATATATTTTTTTTATATTTAATTAATAACTAGACACAAATTATTTAATGGCAATGGCATATATTAAAGGTAAGTATCTCATTTCCACACAGTTGTATTGTGTATTGTGCTGACGACGTTCCTCCTCCTGCTTCATAACCCAAATATTGTAAGTTGTAAGAACCACGTGGCTGCTTCCCTTTTATACTTTCTGTTAACATTGCCTTCTCCTTGTTCCTTGTTTTGCATCTTTTATTTCCATTTTGCATTGAATTTGATTTTTGCTTGTTCTGTTCTCTTCCTCCTCCTCCTCCTCCTTCACTGCCGCCCACTTCCACTCTCCAGCCAGGCTTTATCAGGGACCTGGTAAGTGCAGCCAGCGGTGTCTCCCATGGGTGCTCTGCTCTCACAAAGTACATCTGTGCATGGCTTTATTATGTTTTTATTAGTTTATCTCTAACCATAGACGTAGATTAATGCTTGCACTTGCAGTCTAACAAATTTAAACGTTTTTGTTTTCCGTAGTTTTTTCCAGTTTAAGATTTATTTACGTGAGATAATTATAACTGCTTTAAATATATATGTGTGTTTTTAGTTTATGATAATAAAAACAAAATACAAAGTTGAAAAAGCTGAGGCACTCAAAAAGTTGAACATAATTTAAAGCCGTTAATACCACAGGGGAGATAAAGTTAAAATCACGGCAACAAGTTTCGGCCGTTTTTAATTATTTTGTACTTTTTGAATGCCTCAGCTTTTTCTGCTTTGTATTTGAGGCTGAACAGCACCAAAAAAGGACAATTTTGCTCAATCTCTACAAATCCAAGTAACACTCCTGCCCCTTAAATTTTTGCAGAATGAAAACAAAATCTTTAGAAAATCTAGCACCCATAATTTTACTTAAAAGTACAGTATGTAACGCGTCACCTGCATGATTCTTTGGAAGATTAAACCCACGCTTCCAAACATTCTCCATGGAAACAGATACATTCTCTGTCACGCTGTTTACGAATATAGGCAAAGGAGTAACATTTCCACAGGCCAGATACGCTAGGTTTGTGGAGAGGTGCTTTTCAGTCCAATAAAAGCAACAAAAAGGAACACAGCAAAAACGTGCTTTTAATTTTATCTACTAAAAAGTTACATACTGTGGCTTTAAAATTTGATTGAATGAATAAATGGATGTTTATTCAGACAGTAATGGACAGAACATACATAAAAAATGTGAATACAGTAGATAGAATACAAAAAGTAAATGTTTTGTTTAACCCCACCCATTTTTTTCTACTGTTTCAAATTAACAAAAAACATATAGACTTTTCATTTCCTGTACAATATAAGATATAATTGCTCCGTACCAGCATTTTATTACAAATCTAACAACAACAACAACAAATATATGTATGAACAGTGTTGGGAAGGTGACTTTTAAAATGTATTCCCCTACAGATTACAGATTACATCCCCCAAAATGTAGTTTGTAACGTAATCCATTAAATTACTTAAAGTAATGAGTAATGTAATCTGAATACTTTGGATTACTTGATTTGCTGTAGAGAAGCAAAGACGAGGAAATCTTCACATAAGATGTTTTGTCTGATAAAAGAAAAAAAAAAAAAACAGACTTTACTTAATCAAATTAAAAATATTATTGTTAGAAGACGAGGAGACACAGTCCATGCAGCCTGATTTAGTCCTGTTAAATCCTGTTTTAGACCTGGTTATAGTCCTAGTTTAGTCCCAGTTTAGACCTGGTTTTAGTCCTGGTTTGGACCTGGTTTGGACCTGGTTTAGACCTGGTTTAGACCTGGTTTAGTCCTGGTTTAGTCCTGGTTTGGACCTGGTTTGGACCTGGTTTAGACCTGGTTTTAGTCCTAGTTTAGTCTTGGTTTAGACCTAGTTTAGACCTGGTTTAGTCCTGGTTTGGACCTGGTTTGGACCTGGTTTGGACCTGGTTTAGACCTGGTTTAGACCTGGTTTAGTCCTGGTTTAGTCCTGGTTTAGACCTGGTTTAGTACTGGTTTAGACCTGGTTTTAGTCCTAGTTTAGTCTTGGTTTAGACCTAGTTTAGACCTGGTTTAGTCCTGGTTTGGACCTGGTTTGGACCTGTTTGGACCTGGTTTAGACCTGGTTTAGACCTGGTTTAGTCCTGGTTTAGTCCTGGTTTAGTCCTGGTTTAGACCTGGTTTAGTACTGGTTTAGACCTGGTTTTAGTCCTTGTTTAGTCTTGGTTTATACCTAGGTCAGACCTGGTTTTAGACTTGGTTTAGACCTGGTTTGGACTTGGTTCAGTGTCTGGCAATGAGTGGAATTACCGGGGGAAAAAAAGAAGAAAAAAAAAGGGGATATAGCCCGAAATGTAAAAACAAGTAAATGCCGCCATGTAATCCATTTATTTCAACAAAGTAACTGTAATCCAATTACCACTCACTGAAACAGTAACTGTAACTGAATACAGTTACTCATAATTTGTACTCTGATTACGTAACTCCGGTACATATAATCTGTTACTCCCCAACACTGTGTATATATGTACACAGATATAATATATACATACTCACATACATACATTAAAAAGTTAAAGATGTATCACTTCAAGGTCCTGTATTACATTATTCTGGCTATTATTCCTTTTATAAATGTCCTATAAAAGTCCTTAACATCCCCAATGTTACAAAGAAGCTGCAAATGAATGAGGGACCAACATTAGAAATAAGAGAGAAAAAATGGATTGATAAAAGTTCTGCTCGTAGCATCATGAAGTGTATTAGTTCATTAACAGTAGTGTGAGTAGTTGTAGTTTTGTTTAGTGCTGGTGTATTTTGAACGTAGACTAGTGTTAGACTTTTATTGTTTTATTTGGTGTGGGTTTGTGGTGATGGGATGCACTGGTGTCTTGGTTTGACGGTGCTCACATATCTTTTTTTTTTTTCTCTTTAACTGTAAATGTTTTCTGTTGTCTTCAGATTTCCGCCCGTATCCTGGAGGCGCACCAGAACGTGGCCCAGATGAGTCTTATCGAAGCTAAAATGCGCTTCATTCAGGCCTGGCAGTCGCTCCCCGAGTTCGGAATCACCCACTTCCTGGCCAAGTAAGTGCTTTGATCGTATTTCCTTTCCTCTTTTGATTGGCTGCGGGTGTCTGTGTTCTGACTCCTGATTGGCTGTCTCCAGGTTCCAGGGCGGGAAGAAGGAGGAGCTGATTGGGATCACTTATAACAGACTGATCCGGATGGACGCGCACAGCGGAGACGCCATCAAGACCTGGCGCTTCAGCAACATGAAGCAGTGGAACGTCAACTGGGAGATCAAGATGGTAACTACACTGTACTGGTTCTCTCATTATGGGGATGTAGTGGCACAGGCAGTACACGTGCACCCACCTACGAGAGGTTTGAGGGATCACGTGTCGTTTATGGAGTGTAACGTGAGCATTATGCCTCTCACCCACACGGCTGACTCCAGTACAAATATGTCTACATTTATGTAATACACTCAAAGCACTTAAAGGTTGTATGGAGGATTTTTTTTTTTTGTTTCAAATTGTCAATGAAAGTTTAAAATACCATTACAGAGACGCAGCAGCCTTGTAATTACGATGACCAAAAAAAAAAAGAATGAAAATTTATCAACTGTGGACGTGTTGAGGCCAGATAAACATCAGCCAATAGAAAACGAGGCTGCCTCTTTACCTATTGGCTGTCAGGTCATCAATCAAACTCCCTACGTTTCTAGTGTAATTGACTCGTCAGGATGCAGGGATCACGTGGTTTATGCAGCGGTTCTTAGAGACTTCCTCACAAAGTTTGTTGCGATGGCGGACGAGAATCCACGACCAGTTCGCCGCAAAAGAAAGTCGGTTCTTGAGGTCGCTGAAAGAAGAAGAGAAGGGGAAAAGGAGCGAAGACAAACTGAGGTGATTCTTGGAGATTCCTTCCAGCGATTGCGCGAGTGAAGCGGACGAAGGGTCTAAAAACTCGCCTTCCCTTAAAAAAATCCTCTATACAACCTTTAACACTGCACTCGGTGGTGATGATGTAGCGATGGGTAGATGAGGCCTTTCCAGCACGTGTTGACATTGTGTTGGTGAGTTCTATAGTGTCATCTGGTCGTTTAAAAAATGAACTGCTTCCTATGCAGAAGCACTGATACAGCGCAGGGCTCGTTCATTCAAACATGTGAACACTCATTTGTGATAGTTGTGATCTGATATCCAACAAATGAAAGAATTGACCAAGAAGGTAATGCAGTTTTAGGTCATTAAAGCAAATCACAGCCCATTGTACAATAAAATAGGCAAATAGGTGATACATGACGAGGTGAATGGTTGTGAAAATTATAGTAAAATAAAAGTAAATAATATAGTTCTTTCAGTAAATCTGTTGTGAGCTCCACTTGGGACTGATCAAAATGAGCCCACACAGATTAGGTCTGTCTTCTGTTTCTCTGTGGTTTTATCATGAACCGAGATACAGTAAGAGTTTGAGCCTCACGAGCTTCACTCTACACCAGCTGCCTCAGCGCAACCGATACAAGACTCACCAAATGACACTTAGATGTATCGGTCATGTGACTTTTCTTAAAGTGATACACACAGCGACACAGCTCGACACAACTGGCGACGCGTTGACTTGTTTGGCCCAACACTATTCAGTGGTGGTAAACTACAGTTGTAGCCACAGCTGCCCTGGAGCAGACTGACAGGAGCAAGGCTGCCATTGGCCCTCCCAATGTGAGTGAAGTGTCTTGCCTAAGGACACAACAACAGGGGTGTTTTATGAACAGAGTGTCAGCCTGCCTCAGGGTGACTGTGGCTTCAGACGTAGCCTCATCTCCATGACAACATGACAGATGTGTGATGAATAGCAGAGCTGAAGCTTGTAAAGGCGATAAATCAGTGTTTGCCAAACTTTTTTCTGGGGACCCATATTTTAAAAGTCAAAAACCTTCACGATCCAAGTCAATAGACATTATTCGTAAATCACAAAATAAAGGTGGATTTGACCATTATTGAACATTAATAATATTAAAGATATTAAAGATAATATATAAGATATAAAGATAATGATAATAAAGATATTTTAGTGTTGACTGAGTGATGAGTGTCTCTGAAAATTATTATTACTCAAGTTTTAAACAATGAAAAACAGCAATAAAAGGATCCATAAGTCGCCTATTTGGACATTAAATGTAGAACATTTCTTTTCCACATTTAATTGAACCAACAATATTGGAACAAAATAGTCAATCAAATAATTACAAAAAGATTAGAAATTATACAAAACACGCATTAAACGATAATAATGAAACCTAATTTATGCAACTTAAATGATAAACATGAAATGAATACTGTAAATGCACACTATTGTATAAAAAAAAACATGCGCTGCAATAAATGTCAAAATGAAACAGTAGTCATTTAGTTGTGCCTATGATGTGTCGTAGAGGTTATTTATTCAACAAAAATGTTTTTCACGAGTACAAAGAAAAAGTACCTACAATAAATCCACACCCTCAGCACATTACTCTTCCATCTATCATTTATCGGAGGACCAGTCGATATAATAACTACAGCGACAGGCCAAAACACTATTTTCATGGCTTTAACACTCTGATCTAACCTCCCTCCCTCCAGGTGACGGTGGAGTTTGCGGACGAGCCCAGCCTGTCGTTCATCTGCGCCGAGGTGGACTGTAAAGTGGTGCACGAGTTCATAGGAGGCTACATCTTCCTGTCCACGCGCGCCAAGGACCAGAACGAGTCCTTAGACGAGGAGATGTTCTACAAGCTGACCAGCGGCTGGGTCTGAGCTCCACCCGCAGCACCCGCAGCACCCAAGGGCCCCCTCACCCCTCACCCGTCACCCAACGCCCCACGCATCCCCGAGGAGCACCCATCTTAACGTTATTTTATTCAGATGTGTCAGAACGGGCTGAAATGGCTCCACACGTTGCCATGGCAGACGCTATTTTTATTTTATGTACTAGATTTTCTTTTTTATTGCCTTACGCGGACTATTGTGAAGGACTCTGATTGAGAACGTTGAACATGAAGTCTCCTGGATGTCTGTGCAAACCCTCAGTCGTCCAGGTAGGTTCCAAGGCAAAAGAACATTTAATTCTGTCAACGGAGCTTAAGTTTTTGAAGCAAATACGTTTCACCACTCTGTAACTCTTATATCTGTGTGAAGGGAAGAGCTATTTATTCTGAAACTGACACACCCTTGTTGTTTACACTAAGGAGTGTCAAAACAAATAAAACAATAGTGGTAGTTGGGCTGAGTATCATTAAGAAGTTACCTCCGTACAGTGCACTTTCAATTTGATACGATATATATTACAAATCGATTTGATATGATTCGATAAAAAATAAAGGCTAAATCATGACTGTGATACTAAAAGTCTTGTTAAACCGCTTTTTTTTGTGAAGTTAATATGAAAAACGCAAATGTGTCACAAAAACGAGTTTCCTTCCCCTAAATAAGCAACAAATCTGTAGTGCTGTAACAAAATAAGTTAGTAAAATATACCAAAAAATACTCAAGATACAGCAGCTCAAGATATCGATACAGTATCATCACATTAAACTGTACGATATATCGATATTTTGATATATATGCAAATAGGAGGTAGACCAACCATTAGGGGCTTCAACAATTACGCAAAATATGACTCAGATGACGTTCACACCTTAGGGTAGCTCAATGTACTTCGAATTGCCATATGTCACTTCTAACTAGAGGTCTGCGCAGGATAGAATTTTCAGTCTCGCTCCCGCCCGCATCTGAGATATTTTGTCCCGCAAATCCCGCAAGATGTGGACGTTCGCTTTCTTAAGCTCTATCAAACACGGAGAAGCGGAAAGGAATTGTCTAAAATGTGCGCGAGATTAGACCAAAACGCAAATTTAAACAGCTTAAAATGCTAAAATAAAATATCCAGCGCAAATGATGCATAATAGGTAAACATTAATCATTTGTATATTTTACTTTACACTCATATTTAGTTGTTGGGACTGCAGTTTATCATCCCATGTACAATGTTTCTTCACGTATATTGTTCTACGGTTTTGTATTGAACATATCTGCCTTGCGTTTGTTCAGTTACAGGTGTCAAACAGGCTCAAAAATACCTTGAAAATAAGTAATTCTTAAGATCAGCAGGCTTCCTTCTCCATAGATCTGATCAGTAACTTGTCTCCCTTCTGATTACCAAGTTTATGTCGGATAATTGAGGCGAAACAGTAAAATGTGGCGGACCTTTTGCCAAAAAAGTTCCACAGTGCACCTGGAATAACAAATACTGCTTACGATAAACAACTAGGGTGTGTTCGATTCAGTGTAGTTACTTCTTTCCTTCACACAGATACAAAAGTGACTTACAGAACCTTGTCAGAAGTGAAGAAGCCTCTCGGGTGAGCGGCGAAACGTATTCACTCAAAAATGAAATCAAAAATGGCCCAGCTGACAGAATTTCTTGTTTGCGAAGTCTCCTGGATCATATACGTCCATAACAAGCCTGAACTTTAACCCAAAGATGATGTAATGTTGTCCACGCGTTTCGTATTAGTCAAGAAAACTCAACATTGTCAGTTTTTGATTTTAATATTATGGCATTGGATTAGTGTGGACATGCAGTGCAAAAATAATATACTGAAATGTGTTAAAAATGTCTTGAATTTCAAATCATAAATTCACAGATTTAGATTTTTGGTTTTAAGTTGCTTGAAAGTGCCTCTAGATATAAAAAATGTGTTTGCAATATAATTTTTTAAACATTTTTTGTAAAGTTAAATCCCCCCCCCCAAAAAAAAAAATCCGTGGAGTATGAAAATTATGAAAGTAAATCAAAATTCTTAAAAATAATTTTAAAAACCCACAAAAATCTGAAAATGCATTCGACTTAAGATTTAAATTACAAAAACAAAAATACTGATAATCAACCTGAAAAAAAATAACATTGGGGTAAAAGTTAAAGTTACTACTACTACTACTACTACTACTACTATTAGTACTACTACTACTACTACTACTACTCTGACATTCAAGACATTTTCAACAAATTTGTATATTTATTTTTGCCGTTGTGGTCTGTTAATCAAACCATCGTACGAAACTAACTTCATATTTGAGTTTTAACTGTACTACTTTTCCAATTCATGATTTTTTTAAATGAAATTCTACAAGAATACCTAGTGGCCTTCAGCTAGTCTGTACCAATCAACCCTAGGTCACTCCAGCACTATGTATCCATCCTATGAAGTCAATGAAGTGAGCACTTGTACACTACGTAGTCCTCTTTGAATAAGCTGCCTTTTACGTAATTTTATTTTTTTTTAGTACATGAAGACACTACACAGTTTTGATTTCAAATTTTCATATTTAATGTTTGTAAAGCGAGAGTTGTGACAGGCGCGTACGTTTTTTTTGGAATAGAAGAGCAGTTTAGTTTGCGTGGTTATGCCCATAGACTGTACGTAGAAGTGGACAAATTTAGGCCGTGCTGTTCATATCCAGCCAAATGAAGCTAATCGAGGCCTGCGGTTATATCGGCAAATGTGGTTCCGTATTTAAAACATGTAAGTGCGCGTTTCGTATTGACCAAAGAGCCAATCGTGAGCGGGGCCGTTGTAGATACTGGTTTGGCAGAGGTGGGTGTGTAACTCTGATTAATTCTGTCAATCAATGGTAACGGTAACAGGAGCCACTCTCGGAAAAGAAGGCACCTGATTGGATTATATACCGTATTTTTCGGACTATAAGTCGCTCCGGAGTATAAGGCTACGTTCACACTGCAGCCTGAAGTGACCCAAAACCGATTTTTTGGCCCCTATGTGACCTGTATCTGATCTTTTAATGATGACACAGATCAGATTTTTTCAAATATGACCCAGGACATTTGGATATGTGCTCCTAAAACCGATACATATCCGATCTTTTGACATGTGACTTCAGTCTGAACGGCCAAAGCGCATTTATCCGACCTACACGTTATCAACAAGCCACAAACGTCACTATTCTGCGCTGAAGTAGGTGAAAATTGTTAATGAACTCCGTGTCACTGAAGCGAAGTCAGTCTCCTTAAAACAAGTAAGTTGTTCATGTTCTGGCTCCGGTACGAGAGGAACTTTAAAATCTCCAGGTGCTCAATGCTCGCATCCACGTTTGGACAACTTCTGTAAACACAGAACACGCTCACTGCGGTTGACGTCGTCGTGTCTCCAGTGCACGAGGGACACTTTTGGGCCGTTTAATGTTCACACTGGAGATCACATACAAATCACATTTAATTGGAAATGTGAACGACCTCACAAAAACATAGGATTTCACCCAAAAAATCCGAATTGAGCATTAAGCCCTGCAGTCTGAACGTAGCGTAAATCGCACCAGCCAAAAAATGTGTAATGAACAAGAAATAAATGTATATAAGCCGTACCTTTTGGTGGAAATGTATTTTATAAAATCAGAGTCAAGGAACCGACATTTCATCTTGAAAGGCTAATTCTAGTAAAAACAGTAGAGAGAACAACAGACTGTTAACGTCACATATGAACAGTTCTTCAGATAAATATAACATAAACAGCAGAACAAGTTTAGCAAACTCTCCATCTCACTACAAATCACTAAATCCATTCAATTCTTCATCCTCGGTGTCACTTCTGAACAACTCCGCGACCTCTGGAGGTAAACAGAGCGCCGCTTCCTCTTCTGTGTCGCTGTCGTCAGACTCAGCATCAGTTCCAGTTAGAATTATTCGGGTCTTTCTGAATCCCGACAGGATGGTTTCGGTGTCACTGAAGTCCAGACTTTGTCCATTGATCCAGTGACTTCCAGGAAAGTTTTATGGTGCACCCTCCCCGTGTCACAAGTTTCTCGCTCACTCTAAACTTTCTTTCTGCTGCTCGATTATCGTTTTCATCTGCAGATTTCACGACGTGCAGCAGAACAGAGGCTCTTTCTGCAGGAGACATGCGCAGTAGGGCAAAGTGACATTGGCACAGGAGTAATAGGAGCAGATACTGACACACAAGACTAGAGCCTCTCGCCGCTTCAGTGTGAAAATTTTAATATATAAGTCGCAGGAAACACCCAAACCATGAAAAAAAGTGCTGCTTATAGTCCAAAAAATACGGTATAAAGGTTTAAAACTAAAATCAGAGTTGTTGGAACCACTTCCTTTCACAATTTCTTCCTGTTTGGAACGTAGCAGCGATGTCCACATTTATACACGTCTATTGTTACACATCAACGTGAAACCAAATCTTTTAGAACTTTAAAAAAAAATCACAACTAATTTATTTTTTTGTTTTTTGGCGAAACTTTTTACAGCGAACGTTTTTGATAATCATAACTGACCGCATGCAGCCAAATCGTAACGCAACGAATCATATAACCCGCGATTTTTGCCTTAACAAAAAGCTACGTGAAGTTTTCGAGAATATTTTAGATTTCTGTTTTTTTGTTATTTTAATTTAATTTTTTTGCAACCTCACGTCACCCCTGACAGCTCCGAGCTCGGGATCCTGCCATAACGTTACACGCTATATTTTTTTATTCGTTTTTAATTCTGAATTTTCTGTTGCTCACACCGTGTAGTATTATTCAAATGATGGTTGTTTTATCGTCACTCACCAGCAGAGGTCACTGTTTGAAGAATGAATATGCAAATGTGCTTTCTATCCTCAGTATGAAGGAGCAGCAAAAATGAAGTATTATTTTTTGTAACTATGTAAAAACACGAATTTTCTAGAATTGTACAGTTTTTTTGTTTTGTTTTTGTTTTGTTTTTTTTGCTTTAGAAGGAGAGAAGGTTAACCACCGTAACGTAATATCAGACTGTTAATGATTTTTTTTTTGTTTGTCACGTGGAAGATTTCTGAATATAAATGAAGATTACTCAAGTCTCAAACTCCAGAATTTTTTGAATGTTTAAAAAAAAAAAAAAATCATTGAAATTTCGTGCCTCTTATAATATTAATTTTTGTGATGTTTTTTAAAAAGCTCACTCGCCCCCAGTTTTCCCATCTGTCGTCATAGTAACGCGCTGCCTTCAGGGTGCCTCCGTGAAGTCGTCCCTATCTCGCAATGGTCATGTGATCCAATTAAGTCACTCATTTGTTTCTGCGCCGCCCCCTTGTGGTTGTTTTTGAAGCCAGTGTCACACAAATGGACAATCTTTTCAGTTTTTTCGAAAAAAAAAAAAAAAAAAAAATCTATACTTAGATTTTAAACATTTTGCTGGCATAAACAAGCTCACATGTGAATCACAACATTATATATTTATTTTAAACATTTATTATGTCAACATTTTTTCATAAGATTTGAGTCAACCATCATGCCTCACACTAAACAAAAAATATTTAGAGTAAACTTTTAGAATTCAGAATTCATTTTTGATTTATTTTTAAGCATAAAATTGGTTTTATTTGACCATCATGCCTCAAATTACCCAAAATAATTAAGTGAAAAATTCTTGGATTCAGAACATTTTAGATTTTTTATTTTTTCCCAAACATTTATTTTTAAGTTTAAAATTTATTTCATTTGACCATCATGCCTCACACTACACAAAGTAATTAAGTGAAATAATTAAGTGACATATTCTTGAATTCAGGATATTTTAGTTTTTTTTTTTTTTCCCAAACATTTATTTTTAAGTTTAAAATTTATTTTATTTGACCATCATGCCTCACACTACACAAAATAAGTGAAAAATTCTTGGATTCAGAATATTTTAGATTTTTTTTTTTTTTCAAACATTTATTTTTAAGTTTAAAATTTATTTTATTTGACTGATTTATTTTATTTGACCATCATGCCTCATACTATACAAAATATTTAAGTGAAAAATTCTTGGATTCAGAATATAATTTTAGAATTTCAGATTTTTATTTAAGTATAACATTTGGTTTATTTGACTATCATGCCTCATACTATAGAAAAATAATTTAGTGAAAAATGCTGGGATTTTCAAATTTAGTCAATCAATTTTTTTTCTTTTTTTTTTTTTTTTTCCTTTTTATTGTAAGTGGAGTTTTTAAAAAAAAAAATCAAAAACAACTTCACTGACACATTTTGCATGGATTTTTTTTTTTTTTTGGCCACACTATGTAAGTAAACCCAAAAGTATAAAAAGTAAAGTATTTTGACTTCTTAAGTGTACATATTCTGACTTGTAGTAGTGTGGTGCTTGTAGGAGAACCCCATGAGGCAGCTTGTCCTTGTCCTTCGCGTCGTTGAATCGAGTGAGTCCAGATGGTGTCGCTGGAGTTTGATGGTTTGAGTTGAGAGAAGCGTGCGGCCTGTGTGTGCTTCTCATGTGTGTGTACAAGCCTCCAGCCCCTCCCACTGTAAAAAATGCATTTATTTTAAAAAGTAATAAAGTAATTTTTATTTAAACCGCTGTGTCCTTTTCATACGTGTCAAGTAAAAGTATATAATGACCTAGACCTTTGCTGTTTCATCTGTCAACTCCATTTTCTCAACAAATACATATGTACAGGCAAGTTTGAGAAAGTGTCTTGCCCAATGACACAACAACAGTCACATGATAAGCAGTTACAGTTTCAGTGAAGACAGGAAGTAGGCCTAAGCAAACCGTTTATCATTCGTTCATTCATTTTTCAATATGAAACCAACTATTTTCTTCATTATTTGTCTCCAAAACCAAAATTTAAAAATGGATAATGATTTGTTTTTTTCAGTTTTAGATTTTGTGTTTAAATGAATAATGGGAAAAAAAAAAAAAAAAGGATAACGGCCGTTTTCATGACTTAAACTGTGATGCCGGAGTGAACCAGGAATAAAACTGGACTAAACTGTTTTCTGGTCCCAGTCTCAGTCCCGGTCTGGTCCAAGTCTCAGTCCTGGTCTCGTCCCGGTCTCGTTCCAGTCTCAGTCCTGGTCTTAGTCCCAGTTCTGGTCCCTGTCTGTTCCAGTCTCAGTCTCAGTCCTGGTCTCAGTCCCGGTCTCAGTCCCGGTCTGGTCCCAGTCTGGTCCAAGTCTCAGTCCTGGTCTCGGTCCCGGTCTCGTTCCGGTCTCAGTCCTGGTCTGGTCCCAGTCTCAGTTCTGGTCTCAGTCCTGGTCTGGTCTGGTCCAAGTCTCAGTCTTGGTCTCAGTCCCGGTCTCAGTCCTGGTCTCAGTCCCGGTCGGGTTCCGGTCTGGTCCCGGACCTGGTTCAGTCTTGGTTCAGTCCAACATCACAGTTTAAGTCACAGAAACGGGAAACGGTCGTTATCCATTTTGTCCATTTTTCATTTACAAACAAAATCTAAAACTGAAAAAACAAATCATTATCCATTTTTTCATTTTGGTTTTGGAGACAAATAATGAAAAAAAATTTGTTTTTTTTTGTTTTCTTGTTTTTGGTTTTATTTTGAAAAACGAATGATACACAGATTCTAATCAGTACATGTTCTTGAGTGTTTTATGTTATTCTCACCACATGCATTATACACAGGCGAGTTTTTCAGGAAGTGTCTTGCCTAATGACACAACAACAGTCACAGTAGCAGAAAATTGGCCTAATCAATTTTTAATTTAAGGTCAACTTTGAATAGTATTGTTAAAAATATTGTTATTGACATTTTATTGATTCATATTTATTCAATTATGGGCATGTTTATTGTTACCTTGAAAAACAAATTATTCACACAAACAGACTCTCCTTTCCACAGACCTGACATGGAACTTGGCCTATAGCTGTGTTCTGCACTGTCTGTAAATGAATGACTTTAATGCCATACTGGAACTTTCTTGTAGGGTTGCCAGAAATCCCGAAATTAGACACTTACCGATACTAAAACGGAACGACCACACTACATTCTAAGCAAAGCAATAACTTCTCCATGGAGACAATACCTCCAGAAAAGTAACATAGTACGCCTTTAAACTGCATGCATACATTCCAATTTAACCTCTGACTAAAAGTATCGTAATTAATGGCTCACTTCACCACTTGCAATGTCCAGAGTGTCCAGCAGATGTCAGTAAAACACCACAGTCCCTCGTCAAACAGTTTCTACACATTTTCCCTGGACAATCTGGATAAGAGAACGCGAAAAGCTTCTGAAAAATACTCACTATAGTTGCTTTTTTGGTGGACAATCTACTTGCGTTTTTGTCTCCGTGACGATGTAATGGCTTTGCTCGAAATGTTTCACAGTGCGGTATTGAACTTATCTGTCTCCATGGAAGCAGGAGATGCCACCAGACCAAGATACGGGTCGGATCTGTGCAGAGGATGGCCCGCTGACTGTACTGTAGGTGTGTTGAGCAATAAAAACACTCATAATTGAATGAATGGAGGACGGATAGATTTAATGCCGCACTGTGAAACATTTCAGACAAAGTAATACCATGAAAACCTGAAAAGTTACACAATGCAACTTTAAATGTCACTTTTTTGAGACCAATCAAAAGTTTGGACACACCCTCGTGTCTCTTATACTCAATACCTGAATCTAAATCAAGACATACTTATACAATATATCAAATTACAAGTCTATTTGCTTAAATTAAGAGTTATGGTGCAGAAATAGCTAAAAAAAAGAGAGGGAACTACATAGACCATGATCCTTTGCTCCATTTCATTGCAGACAAGAAGAAATAACAGTTCCTTCCGCTTTTAAATCTTTGGATTAAGTCTTGTCAAGGCATTTTAAGAGGAAAAAGTCGCATATTAACAGTTTTGTTTGTCTCCACAAAATATCATAATAAATATCGCAGCGTGAGATGTATATTGTGAAAATATCGTACCGAGAGATTTGGATATTGTTACATCTCTAATCGTGAACATCCCCACCATTTTGTGAGCTTTCCCACGATATCGCAGTAAATATTATACCGTGAAGTTCATACCGTGATGATATCGTATCGTGAGACTTGGATATCGTGACACCCCCTAATTATTACAACAAAAAAATGTCAATTTAATAATAATTTTAGCTGACCCCCATCTGTATTAAATATAATTGGTGTCTGAAATGCAGCTATAACCAAAAGTACAAACAACATCTGCGTGAAAACAAGCCAGAAGAAACCCTCCTCCAGGTTGAATACGAGTCGCGTTTGTGGAGATGTTTTCGTGCAATAAACGCCAACCAAATTGAAAAAAACAAACATTATATTTTAACACTGGGGTGGATTAAAATCAGTCTCACATCTCCCCACTCCATTTCAAACATCGATCTTTTATCTGTATGAGTAAATGTGGGACTTCATCTCTGTCCCACCTTCTGTTTCTTACAACTTCAATGAAAGATTAACACAACAATACTCTTCTATTATTATGTAACTTTTTAGTTGGCTATGTCTGGAATGTTCCACAGTGTGACATTAAACAGCTCTACCTTACATTTACTCAATTACAGGCAGTGTTGGGGAGTAACAGATTACATGTACCGGTGTTACGTAATCAGAGTACAAATTATGAGTAACTGTATTCGGTTACAGTTACTGTTTCAGTGAGTGGGAATTGGATTACAGTTACTTTGTTGAAATAAATGGATTACATGGCGGTATTTTCCTGTTTTCCTGTTTTCACATTCTGGGTTGTATCCCCCCTTTTTTCTTTTTTTTTTTTTCGGTAATTCCACTCATTGCCGGAAACTAAACCGGGTCTGAACTAGATCTAAACCAGGACTAAACCAGGACTAAAACAAGGTCTAAACTAGATCTAAACCAGATCTAAAACCAGGACTAAACCAGGACTAAACCAGGACAAAACCAGGATTAAACCAGGACTAAACCAGGACTAAACCAAGACTAAACCAGGACAAAACCAGGATTAAACCAGGACTAAACCAAGACTAAACCAGGACAAAACCAGGATTAAACCAGGACTAAACCAAGACTAAACCAGGACAAAACCAGGATTAAACCAGGACTAAACCAGGACTAAACCAAGACTAAACCAGGACAAAACCAGGATTAAACCAGGACTAAACCAAGACTAAACCAGGACAAAACCAGGATTAAACCAGGACTAAACCAAGACTAAACCAGGACAAAACCAGGACTAAATCAGGATTAAACCAGGACTAAACCAAGACTAAACCAGGACAAAACCAGGATTAAACCAGGACTAAACCAAGACTAAACCAGGACTAAATCAGGATTTAACAGGACTAAACCATGCTACGTGGACGTGTCTCTTCCTCTTCTATCAATAATATTTTTAATTTGGTTCAGTAAAGTCTGGGCTTTTCATTTTCTTTTAGCAGACAAAACATCTTATGTTACGATATCCTAGTCTTTGCTTCTCTACAGCAAATCAAGTAATCCAAAGTACTCGTATTCGTAACGTATATATGATTACGTTACTCACCTTAAATAACTTAATGGATTACGTTACAAACTACATTTTGGGGAATGTAATCTGTAATCTGTAGGGGAATACATTTTAAAAATAACCTTCCCAACACTGATTACAGGTGGTTTTATAGCTCAAAAATTGGTAGAAAAACAGGTATTCCAATGGTGAGCGAGATGTTGTTGCTTTGTCTGGAATGTTTCACAGTGTGGCATTAAACCTTTCTATCTCCATAGAGACCAAACCAGACCAAGTTACAGGTCAGATCTGAGGAGAGGCGACCCCGTTCACAGTCAGAATGTTGTTTTTCTACATATTTTTGAGCTATAAAACCACCTGTAATCGGATAAACGTAAGGTAGAGCTGTTTAATGTCACACTGCGGAACGTTCCAGACATCTCCATGGAAACAAGCAGGTGACAGACCCCCAACCAAAAACTTATTGCACTATTTAAAACAAAATATAATCACTTTTGGATGGGGAAAAAACTCATCCAAATGTTGCATGTCACAGGAAACCCCATGAGCAGCTCTATTTTCTCCTGAACAGAACTTCCATGAAATCCAACCATGTGTATCTGACCTTGATCTCCGTCCAGACCTGTCATCCTCTTGAACTGGATCCGTACACATGTGACGTTATTATTATGAGACACTTCCACCCAGGTTTAGGGGGGGCGTTACCATGGGGACGGGGCCAAAACACTGGGCTTTTATCGGAGCGGATCGGTTTACGCACCAGCTGCCCTACAGTGAGGAACATCTGGACGCCGCTAGCAGGGACATGACATAATAAAGTCATTAGAGTCAGAGAGGTAAGATTTAAAGCTGCACTCAGGAACTTTTCTGGAGGAGGAAAACGGCACATGTATTGTATGTATGTAACTTGTCATTCGCCAGGTCAAGTTACGGGCCGGATCGTAAGACTGGAAATTTTTTTTGAGATATTTTTGAGCAATAAAAACATCTTTAATTGAATAAATGTAAGATAATGTGGTATTGCGGAACATTCTATGCAAGGCAAAGCAATCATTTCCCCAAGAGAAGCAGGTGGTGAACCATCTTGAAAAAAAGTTACATAGTATAA